ACGTGTGGGTGGAAAGATATCCATAAAGTTAATCATCAGTAATCCTTTACACAACCAAAAAGACAATTGTAGAGGTTCACCTATCAGGTTTGTGAGGAAAGCATATAATTTAAACGAGTACATGTTTCCAGCTATTTTCTCCCTACTCGTAATAAATATGTCTTTGTCTTGAAAAGTTCCATTTTTTCTTTCTTTTGCTGCATACGTTTTCTTTATTTTATACCCAACTGTGTATGGCTCAATTTTACTTTTGTTTCTACGCAATCCCGTGACGGTGTGATCCGACATTCCGGATCACCACACTGTGGTTTTCTCAATCCAAAATCACCCCTGTCTCTGAAACTGATGACGTAAAACACAGTTTGCATGATTTCTTTTCTTGCATGTCAAAAAGTTCCTTGAAAAAGTGTTTTGTTTAATGGATAAAAGTTGAATAATTGATCTCAAAAATTTCCTTTTATCATATTTTGCTAATTATTGAGGGGCATATAATAAATTTAACATTAAAACAGTAACTTGGTCCGAAGAGCCGTATCACATCTCGTTGACAGGCGTGGGTCATCTCGCATCTTCGCGTCTCGTTTGATCTGATGATCTGCGCCTGTCAACTCGATGTAATACGGCACTTCGGATCAAGTTACTGTTATAATAATGTATATGTATCATTAATAGTAGGTAAAAAGGATCTCTTAATATTTGTGGACACAATCATTAATTCATAAGATTATTTACAACTCAGAGTCGTGCAGTGTCTTCCATATACAAAAGAAAACAATTTCTTTCAAAAATATATAATTATCTACTTCTCATTCTAAAACAACGGAATTAGATTAAAAAAAATTACATTTACTATCGACCCTTAGGTCCGTTTATGATACACTCTACGACCATAATCAACCGTGGTGTCTATAAAGCTAAATAATGCTTTTCCATTAATCTTAAAGATTTAGCCCCAGGATTATGAAGCTATAAAACTTAAGTAAATTTTACAGTTAATCAAAGAATGAATATTTTTTAATAAACTGATTCTTGGAAATTAATATTAACAGCATGGAAGCAAAACAATTCTTAATAGCATGTCAATTTTTATGTGGTTTCTAAAATAAAGAAATGACAATTCTTCAAATTTGTGCAGATGGCTACTATGACAAAGTGTAAACCCTTGTATTATGACACAGTGTCAGAGACTACAAGTGTAAAATTTGAATCCAGGGCATATCTTTTAATTGATATGTTATTGATGTAGTTAATCAACAGTGAGTGTAGCATGACCTTGAAGCAGGATCGTTTGAGAAAAGTCGCAGGTAATGATAGTGGAATTTTCATATTTGCTCCACTATACGTGACTTTAATAAAAGCAGGAGAAGCTCACTCTTGGCACAAGATAGCTGATCACAGTAGAGTGTGTCTTATCATAAGAGGGATATTTGGTCACGAGAATTGAGAGCGTAAAGATTCGGTTTTTACACATGTTCACCCAAGGTCATAAAACAGGCTTAGACCTGATACAGAATCTGCATATTGTCATATGAAATTTGAAATGTTATGAAAATATTTTTCTTAATAAGTAAGTCAGTAAGTAATGTACGTATATCTAATTTTGGGACCAGAAGGCGTACAAAGTACAAGTAACAAAATACAGAGTGAAATTTCTAAATGGTAGTCGTTAAGTATGATTATAAGAATTACACCCACACGTACACAAGCACACACACACACACACACAAATGAAAGTATACCTAATAATACATGTTGACTTGTTTGTTATTTCTCATTATGAATTTACTTTTCTTCTTTTAGTAGTTATGAATGTTATCTGAAAAACTTGTAATAACTGTATCATTTTCATTACTCATAAGCCATATAAACTTGTTCCTTATAGATAAACTAATTAAATTCTTGCAGATAGTATTCATGGACTCTAAGAATGGTTTTTGTAAGTCCAGATATGCTACAATCAAATATCAAATGAAGACCATCTTCTATGTACGTAGATAATATGTTTTGTTTTTAATGCCCCTTAAAAATTAAGGGTTTTCAGACATATTGTTTTCTATTCCTTGATCTCTGTGTCTTTTTTGTCGTTCTTGAAGAGGAGCCTCTTCCTCGTGTCCACTGTTGTGTTCTTGACCTTGATCTTGTCCTCCCTGACCCCGAGTTGTAAATTCCATTTTGTCGGCTTATTCCCACTTTATTTTTTTAAGTTTGAAACAGCAGTTGAGGAGTCAGAACTTATGTAATGTTTCAATCGGAGAGTCATTTTTCCAGAACATGTGTAACAAACCAACCTTAGTCAAATTCCGTACCTAATATCAAGATTTTTTTTAAATAAAAGTGACTTTGCTAAATATGAAAAAAGTAACTTATTAGTCCCTACTTTGTCTCCAGGTTGTAGATCTGTGAAAAATCGTTTGTTTGTTTGGTTGGGTTTTTTTTTAGAATTTTTCTCTCATATGGAGACGCCACCACTTGCCGATGAAAGGCTGCAGATTTTGACCTATACTCGGCACTCAGGGCCATTGAGCAGTGAGGTTTTTTTTCGTGCAATCACCTACTGCGACACGGGACCTCAGTTTACACGGTCATATCCGAAAGACCGATCTCCACGTCCTACGGTTGATTCGAACCGCAACGTCGTACTGGAAAATCGTATCAGGATGTCAATCAAGACCTTGGTATCATTAACATACTGAAGGTTAGACAGAATTCATGTCAATCGAAACTCCTGTGATTGGACTACTAAAGTCAGATGATCAAACATATGTCACGTGGAGGAGATCGCTGTGTTATATCAAGCGTCCATTGTATTCTGATTTTTATTTTTAAAAATCTTACTAAAGTTATTTTATAACACTTTTTGTTACACCTTTTAAAATTGGTTCCTATGAAAATCTAAACTTAAAAAAAGTCTAGCATTTCCAATCCAAAAGTCTAGCATTTCCAAATGTTTTACAGTTGACGTTGCGTGACCTCGACATAAACGGTAACAACGAAACAGTAGATACAACCTGTTTTTCCGGACTTATCTTGCAGTTTACAGTACAGTTGAGTTTGTCATATCTTCGCTATACTCATATTTTTCATAAATCTTTTTGTGTATGTTTCTTTATTATACATTTATCTTGAAATGAACACATTATTTTGACTCATTATGTAATTTTAAATTATAAGAATATATGTGTTATCCCCGAGCTTAAAGAGACTGAGTATCAATGTATCTAAAGAGAGACGCTTTCGAAGAGTATGGATTGACAAAATAAACTCAATCTTGAATAACAATATGTGATTTGTATCTCCGAACACATTTCTGGACTTGAAATTAATTTTATTTGGCTTATATTATGCCGACAAGATTTCCTAGATTTCATAAGTTTATGATTGCAATGAAGCGTTGGACATATGATACAATCAATCATATATCCGCGTGACGAGACCTTCTGCTTTATGACCTTGGATCAGTTGATGACACATTCTGTGTTTATTATAAAACCTTGTGTCAATACATAAGTAATGCCCTTTCATTTTAAAAGATTCCGTATTAGTACATGTATTTTAACTTAGGTCATAAATTCATCGTGAAAGTTGGTAAATAAACAAGAAGAAAGGAAAGCAGATAGACCGAAAACAAGATGAGCCGACCTGTAAAATACGTGGCTACTTCAAATTTGTTTAAATGATTACTTTATTTAAGTGTTTTATGACCTTAAAACCTTTCATTCGAAGTAGATAATTCCTCAGAGATTGGAAGTGTAAAATTTGTTTCTGGGGTATAAATTTGTAATTGGGAAGCAATATATCCCATATATTTTACAGAGATTCATGAGTAGGTGTATCATGACCTTGAAGCAGGATTGATTGGAAAAGAGAGAGATATGTTTTATCAATGGGTGTTACAAGTCCTTGAAGCAGGATCTTTTGGGAAAATTAACATCAAATATACTGAATGTATTAAGTTATATCTGCTCTATAGTTGAGCTATCCAAAAACCGTAGAAGCCCATTCTTGGCACAAATGAAATATGAAGATAACAAACAGTTATAAAGCTCAAAAGTCCACTGGAACAATACAAATTGGAAGTCGAGCAAACACAGACCTCTAAAATCATTAGAGGGGGGATCAGATGCCATGGAGGAAAAACCAACTCCTGTCCATCTGTATTTATAAAGTATTGGGGCAAGTCTTAATTTAACCTTTAAAGTTAATATTTTATGACATCTTCAACTTACCCACACTCATGAGGGCATTTCCACTCTTCGTTGCAATTTATAAATAACAGGCTATGTTACAAACAACCCCCCAGCAAGATTCAGTTAGAGGACGTACATGTACATGTCTTATAAAGATTCACACAAAATATTATTAACTTATCCTTAATAATAACTTGTTCCAGATGTATACACGATTTATAAATTCTAACTCTGTCGACAGATGTGTAACGGGGAGCATTTCACATTATAATTTTTTTTATGGGTTAAAGCATAAAATGCAAAATGTTGACTTTGAACGAGACTGGTAATCTCTATCCCTGTATCATCAACTTATTTGTCAGTAGTATACCTCCTTAAGAAATTGTTCGTAGGTAAAACATGACCGTTGCGTATTGAATCAAGTGGGAGACATTAACTTCATATGCAGGCGATAATCGTATATTGCTAAATAAATAAGTGAAGCTGACGATAGAAAGATCATCGCTCTTATAATAAAGTTTTGTTGTAAATCTGTCATATATGAATTTTTTCTAGTAAAAATATCCAGATATGAAACAGATGTGTAAGAATTTGTGGTGTATAAAAGCGTAAAATATTTATTTTGTCCATGTCTTTCGATTGAAGCAGTGTTGACTAAGAATTCGTACTGCTCGTACATTGAGCAGTGAGGGATCTTTTTCGTGCCAGCACCTACTGCGACACGGTACCTCGGTTTATACGGTCTCATCCGAAGGACCGGTCTCCAAGTTCCACAGTGGGATTCGAACCCGCGACGTAAGAATCAACTCCCTATTTCGCGACTCTAGAGCAGACGCTCTAACCACTGCGCCACGCGGGCGACGCAAATTTATTTAAGAAAAACACATAAAATTTTGAATGATGTTTTAAAATTATTCCATTTTTTGAGTTTTTCATGTCCCTTTGTAGTAAGGGATTTGGGCATATTATGGTCAGTCATTGTCATTATCCCTTTGTTGTCCAGTGTTGTATTCTTTATCTTCCATTTTTCCTCCACCTCCACCTCTTCCTCCTAGACCCCAAGTTGTAAATTCCAAATCGCCGGCTTCTCGTGGATATACCTAAGGAAAATAAGTACTAGTGCATCGAGTTAAAAATGTTTTCGGTCAAATGATACATGTTGACTCGACATCGTGCATGGAACATATAGCATAACCTTTCGTCACGGAAGTGGGAGGAGCGAAACCACTGAGTGTTAAGTTGTTATACAATATATTCTATACATGATCGAGTCGACAGTCACGTAACTATAATTCTTCCTGTGGTGTCTAAACTTTATTTCTTGCGGTTTTGCACAGTCTGTATATTTTTACCAATGTCGCATCTTTTCTGTTGGTTCCTTGACAGTAAGACGAAAATTTGTTAAATCCATAATTAGATTTGAGGGGAAAATAAAGGTATTGAAACACTTTTTAATTTCGACACTTGCCTTGATTCAGAGGATTCTAGATGTTTTCAAATAAACAAATGTGGCATTTTTCATAGCAAATGACGCGACATTGCAAAAATCCCTCTTTTGATATCAAGGAAATTTTAAGACTTTTGAAGACCTTGATTTCAACTCTAATTTCTTGCTTCAGGGGTTTCTGAATTTTCTATGTGAAAAAAATACCAAATAAAAATGACAAATTCAAAACCCCCGTACATTGTATAAAAACGCAAAAGAAAATTTCTTGTGGAATAGATCATTATAGAGAGAATCGTGAAAAAGGTCTGTTTGTGTACTTGGTTTATGAAGATATACTCATGATAACTGTTTATCTACGAGGGGTGGTATTTTTAACTGACCTGTTTGGCCTATTGTAAGAAATCAAGTAATGTGTCGACTAATTGCAAAATATAAGCAATAACTAAATTTCACAACGTAAGATTCGATAACTAAATATTACAATGTGATATGCGTAATTAAAAATCTCAATGTGATATGCGATAACTAGATATCACAACGTGATTTTCCATGTCTAAAATACTACGACGTGATATGCGATAGCACAACATAAACATGTATGCGATATATCGATAAGGAGACATCATGAAAATGATCGAAAAACAAACATTAAACAACATAATTAGCATATGAATAAATCTTCTTTTTTTTTTTTTTTTGGTATTCACCTTCACCAAGAATTTATTTCCAATGTAATTTTTATAAATTTAATACTTATTAATCTTTTCTCTTGATAAAGATTTAACGGTTCAGTATTACTAATTATGCAGCCATGTGATTTTTGATTCAAAATTGACGAAACAATACTTACGCCTTCGTAAAGGAAAAGGACTACGTTTTACTATCACTCTCACGTAGTTTCGCTCATTGCTCTCTGTAACTATTTCGTAAAATCCTAAAACCATTAGCATCACAAGAACAATAAGTAATTTCGTCGTCTTCATTGTTCCGACTGGTTACGGTTTATGTAAACGTTATTACTATGTGTTGCTTGAGCCAGGATGTTAATTACTTGTATGCAATCCAAGGTTATCTGGCTTTTGAAAACGAACGTTATATTTATATGCTCAGCATTTTACCAAATTATGTTCTCATAAATTACGATAGGACACGTTATAGGTAAAAATATACCGGACTTGTTAAGCCTCCATTAACTTCTCCAGAATGTCAAATTGCACAAGGTTTCTTTTTTAACTAGGTTTTTCCAAACCTATTTATAAAATAACATTCATTAGAAATGTCAGTTTACAAAAAACTGCATCCTTTTCACTTTTGTCTTAAAATTAAATTAAAGTAACTCATACATAATGTACTTAATCACATAAGCTAAATAATTACTGGAGACTCATAGACCACAAAACTAACCTGAGTTACATTACCTTGTGTACATGAAATGTCCTATGGCAGTCAAAGGAAATTTCAATCAGGCAAGCCAAAAAGGCTTTAGCCCAAGTGAGTAAAAAAAATAATTTTGAAGTATTGTACCTCAGAGAAAGGTGTCTGATAGTGAACATCTTTAACTCAAACATTAAAAAAGAAACTCAAATGTTCTTTTCTATTTGGTTTATTTACATTTAAATATTTGATATACATACAAAACAAACTTCATTTGTATCGTTTCAATTGCCTCTCTGAGGCTTAATGTGCGTACGTGTGCCTTCATCATAAAGAACACTTATGCAATATAAAAACATTTTAGATATTCCAACGTTTATACGAATATATTCATTTTCTTGAAACTCTAGTCTTACTCATATATTGGCTCGAAATTAAGCGTGAAGTATAGGGCTGGAGCTACCTGGTACAATTTGTACAGTTTGCAGGGAAGCGGACAGGAGGTATGGAATCTGCTGACCTAGAGGGGATATGGTGGGCAAAGTTAATATAAATCCAAATAATGGACGGGCTTAATAATTCAATTCAAGATCTCCTCAAATAACTAATGATATCTTGAATTCTGTTTTTTTCCAATTTATTTAATTGTTAATACATGTAAAACTTTCTGAATGGGTGCTTGCATTAATTGAATTGTTGCTCTCTTCAAATAAATTAATGATATCGACAATTGAATAATGTATTTGAACAGAACATTGGTTCAATTAATGTGCGAAATAATTGAAGTTTTTCTTTCTTCAATTTAATGAATGATATTATTTATTAAAAAATATTATGGCGCGCAACAATTCTTTCAGAGGGAGAGAGGGAACAGTTATAAGATTAGTTATATTTATATATCACCACTCTATAATTCTTATAAAGAGAGCAGCTACATGCATTTATTAGTGATATCTTCAATTCAACATATCTATGATTTAAATATCATTCCATTTGATTGAATTTTTGCTCTCTTTAGAATAACTGATGTGCTCATTAGTTAATTGACGTAAATGTATTGAAAATAATTAAATAAACATGTTTCTTTAATTGAATGAAATAGATCAACAAATGTTTTATACCAAGGTCTAAATTAATCTTTGATTCCATCCTATTGTGAACCTCAACAATTGAAATCATGAACACATAAACTCAACTATTGATCTCATTAATTTTAATTTCTTCAAATTACATTAGTTTCGAAATTAATGCAGTAAGGGGATACCGATTGTTTATGCAAAGAATCTGGAACGTGTGGGTGGAAACATATCCATAAAGTTAATCATCAGTAATCCTTTACACAACCAAAAAGACAATTGTAGAGGTTCACCTATCAGGTTTGTGAGGAAAGCATATAATTTATACGAGTACATGTTTCCAGCTAATTTCTCCCTACTCGTAATAAATATGTCTTTGTCTTGAAAAGTTCCATTTTTTCTTTCTTTTGCTGCATACGTTTTCTTTATTTTATACCCAACTGTGTATGGCTCAATTTTACTGTTGTTTTCACGCAATCACGTGACGGTGTGATCCGACATTCCGGATCACCACACTGTGGTTTTCTCAATCCAAAATCACCCCTGTCTCTGAAACTGATGACGTAAAACACAGTTTGCATGATTTCTTTTCTTGCATGTCAAAAGGTTCCTTGAAAAAGTGTTTTGTTTAATGGATAAAAGTTGAATAATTGATCTCAAAAATTTCCTTTTATCATATTTTGCTAATTATTGAGGGGCATATAATAAATTTAACATTAAAACAGTAACTTGGTCCGAAGAGCCGTATCACATCTCGTTGACAGGCGTGGGTCATTTCGCATCTTCGCGTCTCGTTTGATCTGATGATCTGCGCCTGTCAACTCGATGTAATACGGCACTTCGGATCAGGTTACTGTTGTATAATTAATAGTAGGTAAAAGGATCTCTTAATATTTGTTGACACAATCATTAATTCATAAGATTTATTTACAACTCAGAGTCGTGCATTGTCTTCCATATACAAAAGAAAACAATTTCTTTCAAAAATAAAACAACGGAATTAGATAAAAAAAAATTACATTTACTATCGACCCTTAGGTCCGTTTATGATACACTCTACGACCATAATCAACCGTGGTGTCTATAAAGCTAAATAATGCTTTTCCATTAATCTTAAAGATTTAGCCCCAGGATTATGAAGCTGTATAAAACTTAAGTAAGTTTTACAGTTAATCAAGGAATGAATAATTATTATAAACTGATTCTTGGAAATTAATATTAACAGCATGGAAGCAAAACAATTCTTAAAGGTGCTTAGACACAGATTTGAACTTAACAATTTTCTCAAATTTTCTGTATAATATCACGACTTATATATTGCAATAGCATTTCACACAAAAATATAATAAAAAACTTATTTTATCTGGAAATTATTGGAACTACGAATTCCGGGACGCGTTTGATTAACACACCTTTGCACTTACACAAATTTTAACTTTATCCTTAATATTTAAGAAAAGAAGCGATTTTGTTATGTATTAATGAAAAATATTACATCTATAATCCAGAAAATTCAGAGTAGATATGTTCGAAAGCAAAAAAACTCACCAGTATTGTCAGTCCGTGCTCTGTGATGTGTACAAAGTTTAACAAATTGAACACACCCGTGAAACGTAAACTGTTTTTGTAAACAGGGCACGAGCTCTGTTATTGTTAATGTTTACGATTCACCGGGTGTGTTCAATTGTTAAACTCTGCACACACCACTGAGCACGGACTTACAATACTGTGAGTGGTTTTTGCTTTCGAACATTTCTACTCTGAATTTTCTGGTTTATAATTTTAATATTTTTCATTAATACACAACAAAATTGCTACTTTTCTTAAGTATTAAGAATAAAATTAAAATATGTGAAAGCGCAAGGATGTGTCAATCCAACGCGTCCAGAAATTTGAAGTTTTAATAATTTCGAGATGAAATAAGATTTTTAGCATATTTTAGTATGAAATGCTATAGCAACAAATAAGTTATGAAATTATACAGAAAATTTGAGAAAATATTAACTTCAAATCTGTTTCCAAGCACCTTTTAATAGCATGTCAATTTTTATGTGGTTTCTAAAATAAAGAAATGACAATTCTTCAAATTTGTGCAGATGGTTACTATGACAAAGTGTAAACCCTTGTATCATGACACAGTGTCAGAGGCTACAAGTGTAAAATTTGAGTCCAGGGCATATCTTTTAATTGATATGTTATTGATGTAGTTAATCAACAGTGAGTGTAGCATGACCTTGAAGCAGGATCGTTTGAGAAAAGTCGCAGGTAATGATAGTGGAATTTTCATATTTGCTCCACTATACATGACTTTAATAAAAGCAGTAGAAGCTCACTCTTGGCACAAGATAGCTGATCACAGTAGAGTGTGTCTTATCATAGGAGGGATATTTGGTCACGAGAATTGAGAGCGTAAAGATTCGGTTTTTTAACTCATGTTCACCCAAGGTCATAAAACAGACTTAGACCTGATAGAGAATCTGCATATTGTCATATGAAATTTGAAATGTTATGAAAATATTTTTCTTAATAAGTAAGTCAGTAAGTAATGTACGTATATCTAATTTTGGGACCAGAAGGCGTACAAAATACAAGTAAGAAAATACAGAGTGAAATTTCTAAATGATATACGTTAAGTATGATTATAAGAATTACACCCACATGCACACAAGCACACACACACACAAATGAAAGTATAACTGATAATACATATTGACTAGTTTGTTATTTCTCATTATGAATTTACTTTTCTTCTTTTAGTAGTTATGAATGTTATCTGAAAAAACTTGTAATAACTGTATCATTTTCATTACTCATAAGCCATATAAACTTGTTCCTTTTAGATAAACTAATTAAATTCTTGCAGATAGTATTCACGGACTCTAAGAAAGGTTTTTGTAAGTCCAGATATGCTACAATCAAATATCAAATGAAGACCATCTTCTATGTACGTAGATAATATGTTTTGTTTTTATGCCCCTTAAAAATTAAGGGTTTTCAGACATATTGTTTTCTATTCCTTGATCTCTGTGTCTTTTTTGTCGTTCTTGAAGAGGAGCCTCTTCCTCGTGTCCACTGTTGTGTTCTTGACCTTGATCTTGTCCTCCCTGACCCCGAGTTGTAAATTCCATTTTGTCGGCCTATTCCCACTTTAGATATTTTTCCTTAAGATTATAAGTATAACATTATAAGTATAAGGATATAAAATTTAATTGTCACTTTACAGGAAAAAGAAGGAGCTGGAAACCCAAGTGATTATGCAGTCTTACTATTTTTTAAATCAGAAACGGTTAATTAAATATACTTACCCGTAATTTTAGAAAACAGTTTATTCAGGAAACTACGTTTTACAATCACTCTCATGTTATCTCCATTATTGTCCTCCGCTATTACTCCACATAATCCTAAAATCACTATTATCACGAGAACAATAATTAATCCTTTCTTCATAATCCTTACAATATTTAATAATTCAATTTAAAATAAGAAGTATCAGTATGTCCTTGTTCCGTCAATTACAGGATATTTGCTGTTGTACTAAGTTCCTCTATGCAATTAAAAGCTATCTGATTTATAACAATGGTCGATATTTGGATTATTATGACAAGCTCATTTCAAATCATAGTCACAATGAGGATAAGAAAGACCACAGTTACAAATATATTTATATATACATGATTTGTTTAGACTACATTACTTATCGTTTTCTGGGTTTCACAGATCTTTTTTATACTTGGCCAGTTTTTCCAAACTAATTTACAAAATTGCTTCTGAAAAGTAATGCATGTCAATTTACAAAAAAAAAAAAGACTTCATTTGCAAAGAATTCCTTTTTATAAAGCAAATTCTTCAACATGTGTTTTGGAATTTCTTTTTTATGTCTCGGATTTTCCCTTATGAAAATTTTAATGGCCCCAGCACTATCTTACGTTCACCAAATGTACAGGTAACGTCATATGACTCATTTGACAGAAAACTTCGATCAGGTTAGTTCACAAAAGCCTTTGGTGCAAGAAAATTACAAAAAAAAAGTAATCAATAAAAAATTTGAATAAATTTATCCTACCTTTGAGGTAAGTCTTCTCCCAATGAATGAATAAGAATATTATTTGATTTTAGAACCTCTAATCTGACGTACCAAAACAGTCATTAATCCCTGCTTTCTACCTGTCTAAACAATGTTTTCGTGTCTTCCGTGACAGTATTTTGTCTTTTCTCTTAAGTTGACAGTCTAAGTTAATTGAACTGTTTTCTCTGGTCATTCAATTTATGATAATCATAATATGCATACAAAATATTCATGTTATATAATAATGTGCACTATGACCGCATTAAAACTATTTATTACTCCACTGGTCTATCTAATTACATTTTAATGCGAATTAGCAAATTAGAAAAAAAAGAAGTATTTTCATTTTATTTTCAATATTTCTGAATAATTAGTGCACAAAATGGAAAATCATTTCATTTACAACTGAACACAATTTGTTCTCTAAGCAGATAAACCAGTCGCTGACTGAATATTTTTTGTGCAATATGGCACTTGTCATTAAAAATGTGCATACACAGCTGTATGACGTATAACATATTTAAGAGAAAAACACAATTATTTACTTTTTTCTAATTACATATTCAAAATTTTGTTACGGTAATAACTTGTGTGTGAGCTTTCTTGACACATAAATCAGAGCATTATACATGTACATAGACAAAGAATGATATTTTTGTTTACTGGCGCTACATTGGCCTAATGTCGTAGTTTGGGACTTTCGTACATATTGTGGACGATGACAATATGTAACCACTCTTACAGCTCATATTGTCAGCCATTTACACATACTGTCACCGGCTGAAAAATTATACAAAGCTATTTTATTCAGCGCGATTTGTCGCCCTGTACATTTTGTCGTCGGCGACAATGTGTACCTACTCTCGCTGCACATTTTGTCCTCCATCGGTACATATTGTCGCAGGCTGCAATATTATATATGTACATACTGTCGCTGGTGACAGTATGCGCCGACTTTCACTGCCCATACTGTCGCCTCTCTGTTAATATTGTTGTTACAGTAATATGGATAATAATAAATTCATTAAAAAGCACCAGGAAAATCTCTCTTTCTCTTTAACTCTTTTTCTCTCTCTATCTCTGAAACTTCTGCAAACACACGCTTTATCTCAGAAAAGAGAATTTTCATCACTATTGGCTCAATAAGCTTAAAAGCCCACAGAAAAAAAAAATCAGAAGCAGAGCAAACAGGGACCTCTGAAAACATCAGAGGTGGGATCAGGTGCCATGGTGGATAAACATACCCTGCCGACCGGTCATACCCGCCGGGTGCTCCTTGTCATGATTGGGAAAAAACGAAAAATCAATTCAAAAGACAATTCAATGTGTAAGTAATGGCCCAACAATTAGTATGTAAAACGTCTGTCAAATTTCGACTTAATGATAGATTGTATTGCTGTATCGACCATTGAACTTGCTAAATCATACCTTTAAACGAGATATCCTTGTTCCATCAACTTATACACGTTTGTCAATAACTTGCCTTTTTTTTTAGAGCATGCCCTTTCAACTGGGAAACATAAACCCAATATGCAGGTGATAAGGGTATATTGCTACTTGAGTTAGGGAAGTTGACGTCATCACATTTATCATAAAGTGTTGTTGTTAGATTACCATTAATGTCTTTTTCTAGAAAAATATTTAAATATGAAGCAGATGCGTCAGACTTTGTGGGATCTTTTATTTAAAGTTCACTAGGATATACCGAGTCGACATATGAATGAAAGTAACTATTGTTAATTGATAATACGTCGTCGATATGTTTACATGTCAAGTTGAACGCCAAGGCAATTTTTTTCTTCTTCTCATGTACAAGTTTTTGAATAAATTCTGCTTTATATGAATACAAAAAAAAGATTATTCAACAGTTGAAAATTTGAAATAACAATCAAATGAAAGTAAAAGTAAATTTAATTTTGTGTATTTTAAGCAGCACACTGATAATTTACATGTTGTTTCTAAAAGGCTGAGAACAACATGCTATGTATAAACCTCATATTCTTTCTTACAGAAAATAGTATTCAATCCAACCTCTGGATCGCGATAGTATGTTACAAAAATTAAAAACTGAACGAAAACTTTCAAGATTAAAAGTTGAAGAAACACATGGCCCTTTTTCTTCATTTTTTATATGGGTATATATGGCACAAAACAAAAGTAAACAATAGGCCCCTATATTGTCTCCAGGTTGTAGGTCTGTGAGAAATCGTATCAGGATGTCAATCAAAACTTTGGCATCATGAGCATACAGAAGGGAGGCGGTGCCAGACTGGCTGTCAATCATAAACTTGTCCTTGTACAACTTGTACAAGTAAAGACATGTGTCACCTGGAGGAGAGCACTGTGTTATATCTATCATCAAAGTTACTCTGGTTTTTATGAAAAAATATCTATCTAAATTAGCATTTCAACATTTTATTATGCACAAGGTTTTAATAACTGCATGCAAGATAATTTAGGACTTAGAATAAAATATGCTTCATAAACTCATAAACTCCATTTTGGAAGTAGATTCCTTTGGTACCTTTGAGAGATCAAGACACTACATGTATACGATCTACAGTAGAGGGCATAAGATTGATTATATTTTTAAAACGGTATTTAGTAAAATGCTCTCGTAAACGGCGTTAAATGTTTACATGTAAATCATATACGGTACATATCTTTCATTTTCATATTTTTTTAAGATTTCATGGCTTTGATTTTCTTTTTCTGTGAAATGGTAATCCGTTTTCTTCTTCGAAAATCAGTAGAGAAAATGCTGTCCAATCTCATTGGTCGAATTGGTATTTTGGGTCTGATGTCACTTATCGAAAGTTCTTTTGGTTTTTTAATACTTTCCAACACCTTTGAATCCGAAATGTAGCTGTCACGATTTTGGTTTAGAATTCCCATGTTGTTTTGATCTGGACCTGAGGAGATATTACAGCATAGAAATTCCTTCGTACTTACAAATCAAATATCATAATTCCCTTCTCATCATTTTGATGAAATTTGATTTAAATTCAATTATAACTTTTAAGAAATAAAAAAAAAATAGAAGTACATTTCCTTGAAATAAATCCTCCAACTCAATATACGTAACATACGTAAATACGTAATATACAAGTGGCACATATCTTTACGGAAGCCGATAGGTGCCAAGTAAGAAAAATATTTTGCTGCCATATAAGTTATCAGCGCCTGGCATTGAAATATCTGGCGGCCGCCAGATAACATTTGGGTTATCCATATACATGTACGTGCGCTTGATTAGCTGCTACACATTTATACTCTCGACTTATTCCTACCGTAAACAAATTACATGTAGTAAGGCCGGAATTTATCATTGAATTCTGATGAAGAAAAAAGTGTTTAAATTCTTTGAACGATATGTAAAAAAAAATTATTGACTTTTTTCCTTTGTATTTGACAGAACTTGTATCTTTAACTTGACAGACAGTAATTGTTGGTAAAGAAAATTGTAGTTTTTTCCGCTCTAGTGTATTTATTTGTTGTCAAATCTAGAAGTTTAAGCCTTATTAGTTAGGATAATATCTACACTTTATACAAAAAATCTTTTTGTGAAGGTTATGTTACACTTAAAATTTATACTTTATTAGATTATATGTCCACACCACAAGAATCCTATTTGGCTACCACTTGTAAATTATGTGGCGGTCGCCACTTAATTATTTGGTTTCCAGAAACTTATCTGAAATTAATTTTACCAGAAAAAATATATTCGACGGCTGCCAGATATATTTAATTGGCAGCCGCAAGATTATTTTGCGGTCGCAAGATAAAATATTTTTTTTCTACCTGGCACATACCGGTTTCCGTATATCTTTAACTTACTTTTCATATGTATAACACTCCGTTTTCCAATTATTTTCATGTGGTCTTCGTCATTATATTCCCTTGTACTTTCGTTAAATCCAATAAGGGTCAGCATCATTAGAATAATTACACGATACGATCCCGTCGACTTCATTGTCTGTTTGATGATTTTATTGCTTCCAATAATGTGTTTACAGTTTGTTGTGGCACCTACAAACTCCTTAATCTGTAAATGTCAATTTATTTCACTTGATTTATAACAGTACAGGTGTGGTATTTTTAAAAATTACGTCATACAGTGATTTCCATTACCATAATTCAGGTGAAATCGCCAGACATAAACTGTTTTCAGTTACAAATTCCACTTTTCATTAAGCTACTCAGAAGTACAGAGAGCCTGGCTCATTTACAGAGCAGTGACTAGTACCGTTTTATATGAAACAAACATGTGATAACAGCTATATAAGACGTTCAGAAATATTATTTGGCAATATATTATTAAATGTATTTATAAAGTGTATAAAACAAAATGAGAGACAGGGAGCTATAATCTAAAGCAGGACAAAAATGACAGTTAAAGAATTAAAAACATGACATATTGTTATGATACCCTGATTGCAATGAAAATATTTGGGTTCTATATGATAAAACCCAAAGGGAAAGGTTTTTAACCACCTCTATATAACATCGTACATGTATAACC